TATATATATATACATATATATATATACATACATATATATACATATATATATATACATATATATATATATATACATATATATATATATACATATATATATATATAAGGTACCTCGATACTTTTAGTATTATAGTGTTTTTTTTATTGTTAATGTAAATTAGAGTTTCAACTAGTAATTATACGGCATTCAATGAAAGTTTAACAACAATGGCAGATGCCTAAGCTTTTAGGTTAGCTCAAGCTTTAAGGGATATTGTCACAATCTAACCTGACATAATAATTAACCTATTAACCTGATAAACTTGAATCATCATATGTCAACTCAAATCTCCTCGACTGTCAATGTAGAACTAAAGTAAGATGTTACAAGTCACAATTACTTCAAGCTGTGAAGAAGTAGCTCTTATCTACTTAGACCCCTCACGCTATGATAATCTACGTCCCAATACACCAGCCAAGTTAGCAGTGAAAGACATCTAATTTTGTAGACTAACTCAAACTTCGTCTGACTTTCGACATGAGACTAAACCGGGATGTCACCTAATGTTAAGTAAATTTAAAGCAATAAATATGGAAATCATTAACTTTATAAGAATATATCTGCATGTGTGTGCATGTGCTACAAAAAAGCAAAGGTTGCAAGGGAACATTTAGCTTAAATGCAGGATAGTTCATAAGACATATTAACGAAAAATGTCTCACTGCTATGATGTTGTCCTATCTCAGGCAAAAATTGTAAATATTACAGCGAAATGACCTGCTTTGGAGGATCGATAACACGTTATTGCAGGCTGGGGAGAGGTACCTTGAGAAATATAGGAAGAGGGCCATAGCCACAAGTGCCCGAATCATCCTGTTCAATCTCGATCTCAACGACGCCATCGTTCCCTTGATGCAGTGCGGCGTTGGGGGGCCCTCCCTTTGTGGTGACGGCCGACGGCTGCTGCTCGTCTTCGACGCTGCGAATCTCCATGGAGCGGTGAAAGAAACGATAGGGCTAAGGTTGCGATGCCATGGCCGTATATGCATCATAAGATTGGGCGTCACGGCCAACGAGAAGCAACCAACAGCGCGCCTACTTATGTCGCTCATCCAAGTTGAGTGATGGTTCGGTACCCCACAAGCTTCGCACGTCGTCTCTCGTTCAAACCGCCACCCGAGAAACCATTTCCTGGGTGACATCTCCCTCACGCACCGCTCCCTGTGACAGTCCAGGTCACCCGGGATAGGCGTCGCGGGTGATTCAGGACTGGAACTACAACTCCATCCTCTGTCGAATGCTGGGGAGGCAATCATCTACAACATGGAAAAGTTGACGAGGAAAAGAATACAATTTTTTGGGTCAAAAAGTTTTTATCCCACTTGGTTCATTTTTGCAAGAACAACGTTCCGACAAGATCCCTCTAGCCATCAAATTAAAATTCATTTGTTGTAAACAAAAATTAAAATTTATTTATTGTAAACAAAGAGCACATATAACGAGTTCATGTGTTCCATCTTATTTTCCTTTAATGATAAGAAGCTTCAAGTGCGTTGACGATCAAATTATTAGAATAAAAAGAATCAAATAAGGGTAATTCGTATGCTCGATCTTATTTCCCTTTCTAAGAAGAACCAAGTGTTTCGTCTTATTTTAGAAAGTTTAGACCCTAAATAAGAGACTATATCAGAAGTTCACCGTGAACAACCAGCATAGAATGCAAATGATAAATGTTTATGACGAAATATGCTCCTTCAATATTGTGTTGACATGACATATCCATTTGACACATGTCCCGACTAACCATTCAATGTTGAACTCCAATTAATTGACAATAATGATCATATTGCCAGAAAAAGAATAAAAAATAATGATCATATTACCAGAAAAAGGATAAGAACACTTGGTTGATGCTTTGCCAGAAACAAACCTGGAATTGTGGCATGTCTCATATTCTATTGAATTACAAAGACGAGGATATGAGCCCGCATGAATCCATCTTTAGTTTCTCCCAAACACTGGTGAGCTGAAAGGAGAACACGACATGTAACAAAGAGGATGTGCGGCTGCTATCTCGATTACACCAAATACAACTGTTGTGCTACAGTTTCTCAGTATCAATTTTTACTTTACAGACAAAGGCAGTGGAGAAATGACAACCCACTAGGGTAAATTCTTACCTTCTAAGGTCTTTCTATCACCTCATCAGTAGTGGTGGTGGTGGTGGTGGCGGCGCAAATGGATGTCAAATTTTCATCCATCGAAAAGAAACAAGCAAATGACAAAGAATGAGTAGCAGACAACCCAGGACGTGGAATTTGAGCGGACTGGACAATTGACATGAAAATGGTCAACATCAGCTTGAACTATTAAAGTCTATCAATTCCAAATTCTGAAACCTTCTCATTCAGGACGGCCGTCTTTTAGATATAGATATACATCCAGTCTTTCCGATCAGGCAACTCTACGCCACATTCGCAACATCTTCTGATCGGAACCCCAAGTATCCTTGATCACTGAGCTGCGGCTGCCATAACTTAGGTTTGGTTTCCTTCAATAGTTATTGGTCCAATTCATCTGTGCACGTTGTGGCTGTTGATAAACACCACCAGAGGGCCCCAACATTTCGACAGCTCCAGCGAGAGTCTGGGACTGCTGGAGCAATGGATGAACAGGAGCTGAGACAGTTGGCGTCGGAGGGTAGACTCCGCTGAAGGCACCATGGCCAGCTTGTGTGGGTGCAAAAGTCATATGTTGTCCCTGAGAAGGAATGTTGTAGAAGGAGCTAGCCTGAAGAGCAGAAATATCCCGTCCAGGGGCCGGAATCCAGACAGCTGAACCTTCACTCTGCTTGGAAAACAGAGTTTCAGATACAACCAAGGCTAACTGATGCACATGGATTATAAATGAGAGTGCACATTATTACAAAAAAGCTCTATAATTTCAAGAAAAAAGCAATATAAGCAAAGGCATAACAAAGCATGGAGAATCTTAAGTTTCAATATTGTCGATTTCAAAAAAGAGCCAACAGGTCAATGCAAAAGACTCGTACAAAGTATTATTTACTGGTGCAGCAGGTTTTCCTCGTATCAATACCACAAGCTAACCAGTAAATACATCCAACATATGGGCAATAAGTAACGCACAGCTTTGCAAAACTCAGGCTAAATTCCACGTTAGTTAGTTTGTAGTAACTCCCTAGTAGGCTATCATCTCACAGGTTCCAAGAAAATCAACATATTTTTGTTTGGAACACCAACAAAGTTATACAGGAAACTTGTGAACTAAGCACATTGTGAAACTAGAAAACACTTTTTTATCATGTTACTTATGGCAAGATCTCACGGAAAAGGTACAGCAAAAGAAGAAAAAACGTGACCAGGTCACCAACTTCAGGAGGCTATTACCAATGCAAGTCCCAGGAGGGTCAACTTAGGCAGCTATAGGATATAGCACCTAACGCCTACAGCACCAACAGAAAAACCAAAAAAAAAAGGATTAACCAAAACCAGGCAACTTCCTGGTTGGAACCAGTCTAATTTTGAAGCAAGCATTATAACCAACTTGTCATCAGGGATGGCTCTTTTTATTTTGGGTTTGATAACAATAAGACATTGAAACAAGTCTATACAGGTATATAGAAGCTAATGATCAAACCATCCAGAGAGTTGGTCATGATTATTCAAGGAACCCAGATCGAAGGATATCGAGTACAATTAATATAACTTGATAAAATGTATAAACTTAAAGCTGACAGGATTTTACTTCCTAGAGAAGAAGTAGCCATGCAAGATAAGCATCTGACAAAAAATATGCTTCAAAAATGACAACTTTTAGAAATAAAGAAAAGGAAATGCAGGGAACGAGACTCTTGCCAACATATGTTCAAAAGGCGAGGTTTTATCCTTGCAAACAGATAGGTTGTCTATATGACTTGAACCAAGGTCCCCCAGATCAAAAAGAAAAATCTTACTGTCACTAGAGTTCGCTCTCTAACTGTTTGAAATATATACAATATATTATCTTTCAAGGAATCAGCTTAGAACACATTCAAGAAGCATACACCATATATATTCAATTATTCCAAGATGCTTTCGGTTATATAATGTAAGGCCCACACTCTCCCTTCTGCAATTTCCTTCTTTCTATCCCCTTTCTGGCTTGTATCCACTAGTACTTGAATTCATAATCTTAATGAAATAAACTGATAGATCTTGCCTGAACAAGATTGACCTATCCAAGTCCCTACCTTTATAAGTCATTCCATAAAAACATCATGTACAATCCCAGTGCTCAGAATTTCTTGGCATATAGTCATGTCACAACTTGTAAGCTTATCTTACACTTGCTTCTGATGCTTCAGAGAACGGATGCTTTGTGAATTCATTCTCCTTATTCCATGATCAATAGTTTCTAGTTTGACTTCAATAAATTCACATATAGGACTTGAGAAAAGTTCAGATCTTGGACTTCAAAAATGTTCTCACCTCATACCTTATTCAGATCAAATCAAGTGCATCTCCTTAAAAAATTATGCTTCTAAAAGGTAAAAACTGCAGCAAAAAATTTGCTCATGCTCAGCTCAATGCAAATCCTAACACTTCCAAAGCAATCATTTGTAAAAAAGAGTAAAATGATTTCCAGTTCACTCTATCCTGCATGCTAAACATTGAAAGGGATCAACTATCAAGATTACAAACTGATTCAGTCAGCTCAACATCTGCAATGGCTCAACTAACAACAGCTTCCTAAGCTATTTATGCAACATACAATTACATATAGGCACTGAGAAAAGCAAAAGGAGAACTGAGTCCTACCACATTTGCAAACTATACAAAAATATAACTCCGTAGCTGTTTGAGTAATTCAGGTGAAGTAGCAAAAAATCATCACTGAATAATGAGTTTAGGAGCTCAAACAGTGATAACATTTGAAAGTTATACAATTAAGATTCTAGAAGACAGCTTTTTCAGAAACGATTTGTGGTACCCTTAAGCTAATTCTAAATCAACAATTTACACATCTAAGTAACAGCAGAACTATGGATTTATAGATTAGAATAAAGTAACTAAGCAAGAACTAAACATCACACACAAAACCTGTATAATAAAAACAGGAAATACCTGCTGCCCAGGAATATAAACATTATTCTCCTTAAATTGGGAAGACCCAAGATCTTCATTGGAAGTTGAGTTTCCACTGCTAGCAGCAGGACCAGAAGCATAGCCAGCTGGAGTTGCATTATACGTTCCATATACAGATTGCAATCCAACAATTGTTGAATTGCCAGTATTAGCACCAGGCTTGTACTGGGGAAGGGTGTACTTGACAGCAGCAACAGGACTTGCAGCTCCAGGAGTTGGATATATGTTGCCAGTAGGAGGTTGCTGAGGGAATGCAGCACCACTCAAAAAATGGTGAAGGGTAGGAGGAGGAACATAAAATGGTGAGAAATATTGGCTGTATTGAATATAGTTCGGAGGATAGTGAGATATATGTAAACCAGGAGGTTGTCGGAAGATAGGAACTGGCTGTTGAGGAATAGCAACAGAACCTTGCATAGGAGCTGCAGCTTGAGTTGCTAGAGGAGTTGACCCAACCATAGGTAGCACAACGGAGTTGGTATTCTGGATGGGAAAAAGTGTAAGAGCATCAGAATATACTAATATCATGATGTTGAGAATCTGAACAAGAAGATAATATTAATACAACAAGGTCGTAAAATCCCAACTATTTGGGGATTTTAATACAAGATTATAAATAATAAGTAAATTGTCAAGACCAGGAAAAAAGGGTGTCATAATGAATCCTAGAATTCAACCACAAAATTCAAGAGCTAGGAACATTTAAACCTCTACTATTATGAAGAGGGCAAATAGCAGAGCATATGTTTTCCAAAAGCAATACCAAAAGATGGACCGTAATGTGGTAATTAGTATGACATAATTCAAAAGGATATCTCCCAATATTTCAAAATAAAAAAAGTATATAAGCAGAAAGTCAAACACAAACCTCTTGAGAAGCCTGGACAGTCCGAGCAGGTAGGACTGTAGTGTTCCCATTGTACCTAGAGGAGGCACTGGATGCAAGAAGTGGAGAGATGCGACCATCAGCATCAGCAACAGGTCGATAGAATGGTGTGTAGTAGCTTGTGGAGGGGTCATAGGATTGCTGAACCTGTATAACAGGATCAATATACCAACAGGAAATGAGAAAAGATGAAGCAGATTGTTTTCTAGTGCCAATCTGAAAAATAAAAAATAGAGAAATTTTGAAACAAGGGAGTTCAGACAGTGTGATTATGGTTTGCAATTATCTTCCTCTTCACACTTCTCCACTAGCTCCCAAATTGTTGAGGTCTTCTTATAGCTTTATCAACTTAATCATGAGTTCATGACGTCTAAAGGGGTGAACCCCTCATGGTGTGCATCAGTATAGAAGAACTCTGACAAATGCTTGCCGATCAATCTCATTCACATACCAAATAATGTTCGAGCATCACCACTGGATCCAAGGGGAAGCAGAAGACTCCTCAAGAGACAGATTACTACAATAATTTTCTTGCAGGATTACAGAAAATTTTAAAAAAATTATGAAAACGAGACAAGTTCTTACAGCTTTAAAGACCTCTTATTTAAACTATTCCATATCTTAACCTTACCTAGACTCTTAGAAAAAAGAGTAAATTGATACCCTATCTCCTTAGCACCATATACCCAACTATGATCTGTTACCTCATCACCTGGCCTCACAAAAAGTGGCAGCATAATCCCCCTTCTTATGCACCATTCCTAGTTGAAATAGGGGTTCATGGCCCTTTTCCCCATCTGAACAGTATTATAAGATCCTGCTGGAACTCCATAGTGGTAGGAGGGACCTATTGCCACGTCAAGGATGGTACAAGGCAGAAAAGCAAGGTAGTTGTGACTTGTGAATGCTCATGTGGCTGACAATTACCATGTGGGATGTGTGTGCAGAAATTGCAAGCTGTACAAGGGTCGTTGAGAAACACTTGATCGCTACCAGCTAAAGCAGTTGTGAAGGTGGCTAGGAGCATAGGAGACACACAAATAGAGGCATGAAGGATGTTTGTGTCCTGATAGTTACAGGGGAGTAGGGGAGGCAATCCATGACAAGCAATGAGCTCATTGATGCAATCAAGATTATGTATCAAGTGTAGAGCTGAAGGCAAAAGTTTGAATGATAGACAAATGGCAATGACTGATCCTCAATATCTTATGGCTATTGGCCACCACCAGATTAGCTTCAGTAGCAATCATGCTATTAACTAATATCATAAAATTGAAATAAAGAACACTTTTGTATATAAAACACTGCATCACTTCAGCTATCAGATTATATAATTTAAGTGACATGGATATAAAGATCTAAAGGTGTCACTGTACCAGAAAGTTTGGGAGATGAGAGGTATCACAAGCCTGAGGTTCTGAGCTTTCAAAAGGTGCAAATTGGCTTCCGAGCACTTGTGTGTCCAATCCAAGTGATGGATATGATGGTGCAGATTGAACAACCAGATTCTGAGAGCCATCTGGAGCTAAAGAAGCCTCTTGTTTGCATTGGTCATTTTCCACTGCAGTAGATATGCTTGCCGAATCACTTGCTTCCTTGGTTGGATAACTATCTAACACCAGTTCAGGTGATTGAGGATGACCCATAAACTCAGCTTCTTGACCAGCTGAGGTTGCCATATGAATGCTGCCCATAAAAAACAGAAAGAAACAAAATCGTTAAAAAGCCACAATCTAAGCATAACAAAATGGTAGTAGTAAACAAAACAAGAAAAAAATGATGAAAAGGGAAACAAGATCCTCCAATACAGCATTGAAATTAGTGAAAGATAGCTTAAATCAATATTGACTTGACTATAGTATATATTAAAATGAGGTAGAAAAGTTTCTAAATAAATGTAAGCTTCTTTCGACACTGTTAAGAGCAGTTTTTGGTTGTCCGAGCTGGAAGGTGAATCAGATCTAACCTTGTTCTTCCTCAAGCCAGTCCCAAAGCGAAACTCCCCAACTCAGACGTCAGAACCCTACAAAACTATGTGGGGGGCATTCCCGACAAAGTCCCCTCCGATGCTTAAGTCAATTATCTAGTCGGATAAATCGGATTTATATTGTTGAGTGTGTTGAGACATACCTATGACCCCCTCTTTTATAGTGGAGGTTTGGAGCCATTACGCCCGCTTATTGTGCAGTTTGTGCCATATTGGGGGCGTGGGATTTGGTTGTAACTATCGTCAGTTCGCGCGGGACCCAAGATTGCATAACTTCCTTCCACGTGACAGTCATCCGGTGCGGCCATTTGGCTTTACTTATAGGGAGTTTGTATGAAGCTATGGTGGTGACAAGCAGTCAACCAAGTGACTCCTTGATGTCAGCCACGTAGGGTCCGCTAGTCGGCTGCGTAGAGCTGATGTGTCCTCCACATGGACGTGTCGGCCCTGTGGAATCAATCAATCGGCCACGTGGAACCAAGGTGTCAAAAGAGAGCTGAGGTAGGGAGTGTAGCAAAATCAGGTCGAAAAGTAGGGTTAGGTTGACATCGGCGATTGGCGTTGTGGTTCTAGCGGGCCTATGCGGCTGGGCATGATAGTGCAATGGCATGACGGGCCGACAACGCCAGGCACAATGGGGCGGTGGGTCAATAAGGTCGGCGTTGTGGCACAATGGGTCGACAAGGTTGAGCGCGGCAAGCGGATAAGGCCGGGAGCGACGGCACAATGTGATGGGCTAACAAGGCTGAGCGCAACAAGCTGATAAGGCCGAGAGCAACGGCACGACATGATGGGCCGACAAGGCCAGGCACGGTGGACCGACAGGGCCAAGCGTGACGACGTGGTGGGCCATCGAGGCTGGGCACAACGACACGAAGTGACGTGGACATTTGCTATGCACACCTCCTCTCTTAGGGAGCGGGAGAATCCAAGCGTGATCTGATAACTAATCACGCACCATACCCACCTATCACGAACAGTCGTCGCGCACCCGCAACAACTCCGTTCAACGAACCGTTCGTCGCTCTCATCTACATGTACAGCAGCTTGGCAGCATGTTTTGTCTTGGTTTTGAGTTATTTTGCTTGTAAAAATATAAGTTCGAACAAGTTGTAGCGCTACAAAGCGACCGCTCACCGAATCGAGCAAAACAACCCCAAAACAGCTCCGTTTTCGTGTGCCACGGGCTATTTCTTGCAGTCCGCTTTCGCTCACCAAAACGTCAGCCATCTCAGCCCCTTGGAACCACCCAGGTGGCACAAGGCTGGATGGGGCTTCGGTATAGTGTCGGGCGTTAAACAATCTTTCGCAAGTTCGCACGTTACCTTGACAGGAACTTGTTGTCGCGCCTGGCACCCGGTGAGCAGCTGTTTGTGGACTTGCAACTGTTCATTCAACCTTCTAAAGTCCTTATTTTCCCCCTCTCCCTCTTTTCTCTTGTGCACGCAAGGTGCTCGCTGAATTGCTTGTAAAGCTTCCCCTTTTCGCGAGACGTCGGGACTTGTTCGTCGCTCGTTCTTCGAACTAATCAACTTTCTCTTTTTACAGGTCCTTCGGGACCTGCGAGAGGTTGCAAGTAGGCTGATCTTTGCGGACGCAAATCGCAAGGGCGAAGCGCGACTTAGACAACGCAAGCTAAGTTCGCACCTTTGCCGCAAGAGTGTCTCGCGACTTAGGCAACGCAAGCTAAGTTCACGTCTTTGCCACAAGGGTGCCTCATGCCTTAGGCAATGACAGCTAAGGCCGTGACACACCGGTGACAAGGGCAATGTGGTGAAATTGTCACCTACCATCTGGCCATTGAGTAGATCATGGCGAATTCAACGTGGAACCAATCGAATTGCATGGAGCTGATGTGTCCACGTGGAACCGACATGTAGACCCTATGGAATCAGTCGGTCAGCCACGTGGAGCTGAGGTGCCGAAAAAGAGCCGACATGTTGACGGGTGGCGCTAACATGTCGACCACACCATCTTTGCCATAATAGATACATTTTACAATATAGTTTTATGCTATGATCAGCAAATAAAACGGACAATGATTGCAAAGGTCGCCTACTAGTATTTCTTGTACACAACGCAAATAACATTTTGCATTCTATGCCCTTTGCCAAAGTTAAATCCTAAAGTTATTTTATTAATACCAGTGATAGATATATCAACTCGTAATATAACATTGTAGGAAGCATCAACATGCATGAGTATCATAACAACAAAAAGTTTTTACTAATACGAGTGACTGAAATATCAAGTTATCAACTAGCGGGTAAACTAAAATTCTTGGAAGAATAACATGTGAAATTTTCTATTTTCTAATATACAAGTACTGTAACAATGCCTATCACTTACAGACCTATCTTTTATTTTACAGCAAAAGGAGCAGTCGACAAAATTCTACCACACAACTTTGCAATTTTTTCCACATAGCCAAAACAATGGTATAGGAAAAAACAACCACACAAACAAGAGCAAAATTGATCGTTGTAAAAGTTCAAAGCTTCCTCAACAGACATTAATATGCACATGCATATTATACCATGTTGAATAAACTTGTTAGCCTTTTTTTACTGAAGTTATTTCATCTCATCAAATACAAAATGAGTTCATTATGTAAATGTGAATCATGATACCCTGATCTAAAATAACCAATAAGTAAAGCACATGTAAATGAAATTGTCAAACAACAATGCAACTAATGCGCCTGAGACCTTAAAGAAGGCTGCTCAGAAGTCTCTTTAACCTCCTGAGATGACTCAGAAGGTGGTGTATCAATCTTGTCTCTAGTAGGGCCATTAGCAAAAACCATATTCAACTCAAAATTTTCATCAAAGCTTCCAAAACTCAACCCATGTCTTTCAGACTCTGGGACTTGAAGATGGTTTGGAATTATGACATGTTGTCTGTCAGATAACTTCAGTTCATCTAGCTTCTTTTCTAACTTCATGGTAGTTTCCTCTGAGGTCACAGAACATGATGCTGGTAACGATTGAGAAACAGCTTCAGCCATCACTAATATATCAGAAGTGTCAGTCATTTCAGATGCTTGGGCAGGATTCACTTGTACTGATTTTGGTTTCCACTCTTTATTAGGCACAGGTGCTGAATAAGAAAAAGTACTACTTAGTCAACTATTAAGTATAGCAAACTTATCAAAGAGTGGAAAAATGAATAATCAAGAACTTAAATACATGTAATTTCAACACTCAAGATAAACTGTACACGGTTGACATAATTACATATGAGAATTGATTTTAGGAGATCAACTACTAAAAATTACCAAACATTTGTGGACTACCTATAGGAATTGCACTGAGAACAAGGTCGACATACAACAAAAGATTGCTCATACATGCTATTGCAGCACTGATATTTGACACAATGTGTGTCAACTGCAAGAGCATCCAAATGCACCACTGGACTAAAAGTCTATGCACTATAAGCCAGCAAGTTTCCAACACAAGTTTATGCTACAATACCAAACCTTGCGTTAAAGTATAATATACTCCGAAACAGAGAGATAAGAGTAATGGAAGCCAACCTCAAATAATTAGCAAACTTCCACAGCTTTCTCTGTATTAGATGATTTCCCATCTACATAATTAGCAAACTTGCATCTTATCACATCTACAAATAAATTGATACACTCTAGCAACAAGGTATATGGAATGATAGAGAGAATAGATTTGAGATGTTAATTGGGCCAAAATTGCATACAGATCAAGCGACATCCGGCTTGAGTTCTTTATAAAACTAAAACATTTTAGTCAATTTCAAAGATAGGGCTGCTGATTTGACACAACACTAGAATGATTTGGGGATTATTTTCTCACTACAGCCTGCTTGGAATGAACAAAGCACTGTGATAAAAAATTCAAACAAAATCCAGGGAGGCATTAGATATATTGTTATCACTACTTTACTAAAATCAAATCATACCTGATGGGACCATATTATAGTGGATTATTCCCACAAAACAGGCACTTACAAGATATATTCATGTCTAATCTTTTTTTCTTATTACATGAGATGTTCTCAACTTAGTCCCTCCAGAAATAAAACCTAAAATAGCAGGTATCTTCTTTCTTTAAGGGTACAAGAGCTAAGTCATGAATCAAGTCACTTCAGGTCAAGTTCAATGAACTTATTGTTTATCTATCTTGTATTTAGAGTTCAGGCATACATTGGATTTAAAAAATTGGGTGAGTTTCACCGAAGGCTGTATCTGTCATACTGAACATAAATCCACCATAACAAAAGCTTGATTTCCCCCTTACAAAGTCCAAATATAAGTACAAATTTCATGTGTATTATAATAGAATGTTTATCATTTATGTATTGCACAACCAATTTGCCCAAGCCATCTTAATCTAACCAATTATAACATGATTTACTTGATATGTACATAAAGAAGAACTTTGGGACCAAGAAGCAGGCTCTGTTTTATATCTAATCTAAAACCTGATTTTTGCAGATAGTTTAAGGTTCAATTTTTTCATCACTAGAGAATGGGCCAGTGTCATAGTGACTTAGTGAGATTGCTTCTTTGTGATCTAAATGATCAGGACTAAAATCAGGGAAACAACATTGCTTTGTAGGAGTAAGGCTGCTACATTGACCTTCAACATACCATAGTAAGGAGCCCTAAGCATCTTTCATTGTCATTGTTACAAAATCCAAATAGATCAATGCACTCAAAAATCTGATGGACCATGGTTTCAAGACCTGGCATCACACCATATGCTGCAATGATGTACCAATTTGTGTCAACTCTAGGCATGACTCGGAATACTGACATGAATAGAAGGCAAGAAACAAAGAAAAACATAGTGAGGAAAAAAATTGTTATCTTATCATTATCATCAACAAGAACAAGCCATAAATCCCATCTATTTGGGATCAACTATCCCACCACTGACCTCATTTTAGGTCAATGTCACTAAGTCAAAAAGTCACCAAATTATTTCTTTTTCTTATTCGATCTTCCTCAAGCTAATATCAATCATCTCATTCTTGGCTAAAATCAAAAGTACACATACCCTTTTATCCGTGGCCTCTTCTCCGATAGGGAGCACCATAACGGGTATCAGTCTACAAAAGTAGAATGTCAATATAAGCTAAACCCCTCCAGGTATAGTTACAACAAACATCTAAGACAAAGACTATCCGGTGAGTATGGCACATCATGACTTAAATCATGACCAAGTCCCAACTTAAAGATGTGGTGTAAGTCATGGGACCGAGAGGGTTGTAGGATTGCAATGCACTTGGATACACGTCACCTCCACTGTTGACGACCCAAGTTGGGAGCTGAGTCACAACAAGCATTTCTCTTATCCAGTTAACATGTTTGCATCACTTGTTATGCAAGTTCAAGATAACAGCTTGGCTAATTAAACAATGTATAATATTCTTCGTTAAGACAGTTAAAATCTAAAAGTTACAAGCAGACAACCAATGTATTACAACTGATACAAAGAATGGTCAGCCATATCTTTCAGTTTCTATTTTGGGAGGTTACATGAGATTCAAGTAAATGAGATTTAGTTGGAAAGCTTTAAGAAATGCAAAAGTCATATGTTCTGGGGTAATCATACTGTTTGAACAGCAATAACTCAAAGATCCAGAAAGATGCATGAAATATTGGTCTCTCATTCATCTTCAAACACCGATAATTTGTTAAGCTCGGTGAGCAGAGAAATTTGATCAATTCAGGAATTGCAGCACCTTTTTAAACAAAAAATTGCATATTTTGGAAACTTCTATATATATTCAAAAATGGGCATTTAGGAGAATGGAAGTAATTAATTGGACTAATCACAAACCAAACAAAGCGATTCAAGGGAGTTTATCATGCACAGGTGCCTGCTCATGAAAACAGAGAGATCCTATTAAAGCATTAACTTAATGCAGAATCAAAAATTTTGCCTTGAAGCCAACAAAATTGCTACAAAGCAAACTAAATATTGATAGCATATAAATAAATAATTTAAGAACCATGGTCAAAGCAGGCTTAGGAAATTAGTTAACAACAAGATGTCGTCTCTATTTTATCTCCTAAGAAATAAGCATGCTGTATATTTTAGATAAACTGACAGATCAATCAATTCGTCAGCATTAATTCATAGGGGGGGTGGGAAGGAAATAATCCATCCTGGTATTATCACTTCATAAACTTCCACTGTCTGTAATAAATGGAGGGTCATGATAACAAAGCACCGCAACAATATTAGATATAGTCAATCGATCAATCATCACCCAGTACAAAAAGAAAAAGATGCTACAAAATAAATGTTAAGTTCTACCTTTCTGTGAACCACTTAGATGAGGACGATTGTTGTAAGTAGAGGACTGTCTGCTGTTTATAACACTGGAGAAAGAAGATACAGATTTTTCTGAGAGTTCATTTGTTTTGGATCCTTGTGGTTTGATTTGTATCTTCTTTCCATGCGTATCGGCATTGCTCATGTCAGAAGAACCTTTTCCGCTGATATTTAAGAAATTCCGTCCAGAAATATCTCGAGATGCAGACTCATGTGTGGCTGTCTCAATAAGGGAGTGTTGAATCCCTGTTACTTGTTTGGTAGTTCTCAACTCAGCAGTGCCGCATGTAACAGGAGATGTCACTAGCTTAAGGTCTGAGATTGAAGTAGAGACTTCAAAAACAGGTGCTGCTGTCCTGTTTTCTGCACTGTGGTCTGAACCTAGTACAGATTGTCCAGATGCAGATCCATATATTACATCACTGGAATTTATCCCTGAAGTCCCACTCTTAGTAGTTACAGCACCAGAATTTTCTTCCCATGGGGCAATGCCACTAGCGCCAGAGACATGGGACCCCTGAGATGATAATGGATGATCTGTTTTGCTGGGACCATTGGCAACATCAGATGCAATTATTACAAACTATAGCTAGGTCAATAAACTAGGCAGTAATAGAAAGACATCTCACACTTATGATTCATGAAATTTAGGAATAAATTATGTGTGTGTGTGCTTTCTCTGGTTTGTTCTTTTTTGGTTCACATGAACATGGTTCAAAAAGAAGGCAACCCAGTGGACAAGTTTCCACTGATGTGCATACTGCATACTGCAGAAAGTTGATACATGAAATGTTATCCCGGTAAGCAAAGAGACTATAAAAATGACTCAATCCCTTGACACCAAAATTGAAGAGTACCAATCATATGGTGGCATCAAAGTTCATCCTCTCCAAATGAATGTGATCTGCTATTATCATCCACCCATGAGTTCTTAAACAGAGAACAAAAAAGGTTGCCTCGTTTAATGGTTGTGTGTTCATCAGCATAAACTTGATCCAGTTGCTACATAAAAAGCTTTAACACATAAATTTCCCTCCTTCCCAACCCAAAAAAAAAAGGCTCATTCTTAAGCAAAATGAAATTACTGATCTCAATCTAGTTGCTATCTCCTAAGTTGTACTTCAACAACATGTAGTCAAAATATAACCACCAAAAGCCAGGATGTGACAATTTTGACTACCAATATTATTTAGAAGTAAACATATGAAGGAAACAACGGTATCTCAGGATGTTCCCCCAATAACATACCAATGACAACTCACATAAACCATCAAGCAGATCATGTTGCTTGGATGTTAAGACTTAAGACAACATAAGACGCAATGAAGCACTGGAAACTATAACAAGAAAAAACAACCTGACTTAGCAGCAGCCTCTGATGGCACTGAAGTCCAAACGTCAGCACAATTAAGGCATAAATCCAAAGCACTATAAAACTTGATATATGTCTTCTTCAAATTGAGCATCAAGAAATAAAAACATGTTCCTAGTTTAACAATATTAGTATATTTACTTAAAGCCAACCTGAACAGACACAAATAAATACCTTGACGTGAACTTATCAGAATTATTATCTGTGTCAAGGGTGGTGGTGGATGAAAAGGATGTATTGGCTTTATCTGTACCTTGATTTAATCCATTCTCCCTCCCTGAAGTAACATTTCTTCCAGCAACATCATCTTGTAGCCAATGGAAATTATATGGTCAATATCCAATAATAAATATCCAACAAGTAGCAATAAAGCATGGCAACAGTAGCCAATATGTGTTTTTTGTGTCACAGAACACACCTTAGAAATACAACAAAACATGTTCTATAAACTATAAAGTATTTCCAAAAGCATTTATGGAAGGTCTCCAAAGAGCAAAATGCAAAATATCACAGCATATGGAACAGAACACTGAGTCCACACATCATAATATAGACGGCACAAATCTGATTTCTGATACAACTGACTTTGGGTAATTTAAGAAAGTTCTTATTGATGTATGTGTGAGATGTTCAAATTAGAAGAAAAAGCATCGATGTACATATGGTTAGCTAATAACCAAGTAATATCACATAAAATACGAATGTTATGCAGTCAGATAAACAAAGAAAGGTCCAAGACCAAGAAGAGAAACATATAACTTCTTAGAGCAACTCATTAGCCACATAAAGTTTGAGTATTATATTACAAGAAAACTACATACCACTAGGCAGAGAGTGTGAAGAGTAGTTCAACTTTCCTCGACCTCCTCTACCACCTCGTCCCTGCACACCTGGCCTCCACCTAGCATCATTAGGGTCTCTCACATTCTGTTGAGAATAGCAGAATATTCATTTGGTTAATCTCAAAATTGGAGAGTTTATAGAGGAAAATTGTTGATATTTGTTTATTTTAGGGGCAAAAATGTGAGATAAAGAAATGGGATCTTGAATGATTTTTAGTATGTGGAGGATGCATGCGTGTAGCCATCATACAATAATTTAACTGAAAGAATAGGCTTTGGGCAGGTTAGAACAGGTTTCAACTAGTTAAGATCATTGTATTACAGACAAACTCAACCAGTTTCCATAATATTTTGTTCAAGACAAAGGAAGTCCATACATTTCGAGTTACGGGTCTGGTCTAAGACCAACCCAAAATGGTTCGGTTTCAACCATATCACCCAAAACTTGAAACCATCCAGTCTCCGGCTCTTATGAGATTATAACTTAAGAAAGTAATAGAGCAAGCAAATCCTTTTTGTCACTTCAATCACACTTATTGTGGGTTCAATTCTTTTCATAATAGTTCATTCTAGGCAGTGACAAGAACCAGCATGTTTAATTTTTTCCGGTGACTCCTATTTAATTTACATAGCAGCCATTTGACTTCGACAACTCTCCTATTTAAACTCTAAAGAATTTGGAGAAAACAAATCTGAATCATTAGATCAACACATTGTGCTAGAAAATAAATTTTGAAGAGAGAAGTGAAGAAGAAAAAGAAGAATTTAATCTAGAATTATGCAATTTATAGAATATAAAGAAGACCTGGACCTTCACATGTCTCAACATAGATTCCAATTAGTCCCTTTTGGGATTCAGACAGATGACAAAATGACATGTACTTTAATCAAATGCTTATATTAAAGTAAATGTCAATGACTTGTTTGATCCTGCAACTTTGTTAACACATATATCCCCAGACTTCACATATTAATCACTTTCTTAGCATAAGCAAAGAATAAAAACAGACGTATTAAGACAATAAAAAAAATTACCTCCTTTCTCTTGTCACGCTTCCTTCTCACTTCATGAAAGGTGTCTACAACACAAAAACCAGATAGTAGTTATGACTAAGAAGGCAATTAAAACAATACAACATAAGCAAGTACATTCCAAATTCAGGTATATACACACCAAGAAAGAGATTACAGAATATCCAACTGATAAATGAATATTGTTATTACTGAAGAGACAAAGGAGTGAAAACATGGAAAAGAAGAGACATCATACTGGAAACCGTAGATGTTTTTAGACATATAAATATATTTTATATATTATTATCTAAATTAAATTTTAGCAGAATATATGGTACGGAACATGGTAAAATGCCATCAAAATTCTTGGTTTTGTTAATATCTAAATATTGTAAATATGCCAACCATATTACCACTAGATATTCCAAAATAAATTATACATAGAACATGACGCTTAGTAAATTAGTTTAATATAATAGAAATACTCCCTTAGCAAGATACAACTACAACCAAAATTTTACAAGCTACTCTACCGGGAAAGAACATGGAACTCAACATCACTGTGCCTCTCTAGATAACAAGAAAAGACGCCTAAGACCATCACTCCTCAAATACTTGTTGCTCCAGAATCATGAAAGACAAGTCCAACTAAATCACACGTGATTCCGAGATTATAAATAATTTTGGCTAGATATTGCAGTTATAGTATAAAGCAGATCATATAATTCAAATTAAAGGTGAAATCCAATCTAAGGGCACTGGTGACCCAATTGTTCCTTCTGTTCCGGAAAAACTCATTTTAACTCCAACAACATACAGTTTAACGACTAGGCTACCCCAACCACCATCGATCCACCTAACCCAGAACAACAAAACGTACGAATCAATTTCGCCAGCCAGAAACTCCAAATCTCCTACCCAAGAAATCCAATGAGATGCGCAATAGTGCCAAAGGAGGATTAAAAAAATCGATACTCAAGAAACTCCACAGCGCCAAAACGCTGCGAGTCGATTCGCCCGAGAACAACGGCCGCCCATCAGACCCAAAAGCCGAACACCGGACCAAAGCGCACGGCCGACGAGGAAGGCAAAGGAGAGAGGATGCCTTGGAGCAGGAGCTTCTGGGCGGTCTCGTTGGGATCCATGCCGCAGTCCTTGAGCATTGCATAAATCTCCTCGTCGCTATGGTTGCCGGCGATCTCCTTGATGTTCTGAATCGTCCGTCGCACACCGGCAGGGATCGAAACCCTAGAACCGCCGCCGCTCATCTTCCAATCCCGGATAGACGGGAGAGAGGGAGGAGGAGGAGGAGGAGGTAATAGGAGTTAGAGAGAGAGAGCACAAAAGAAAGAGGAGACTTGAAGTCGTCTCGCCGCCTCTTTTCACTTGTATTCCCTTCCGCCCTCGTTTTGGTCTTTTACAACAGACAGCGTGTTCGTGAGAAGGGGGAACGATTTAATTTGGGGAATTCTCCCCAATTACGTACAAAGTTAAAGACGTTTGGGCAATTCTTCGCCTTGTAATGAAATGCCCAAAGTTAGGTCTTCGTTTTTCTCCTGTTTACATTCTATTTTCTTTTCTATTTGGCATTTTGGCAAAGAATTCAACCAAAAAGGTTTTCCCAAATCAAGTCTCTGTCATTTCGTTTGTAGTGAGCCCCTTCCTTTATGAACTGATCAAAAAAAAATTCATTATTGTGAGGAAAAATATTATTTCGCATAAACTCAATTCGGTTTGGTTGGATCGAATTTTTAAGGATAATTTTTAAAAAACTCTATTTTTGTGAAGGAACTCACTATTTAGAATCCCTTCTTATTATTCACAACTTTTTGCTATTTATATTTTTAAAAAATAATAACATAATATTTTACTATTTTTTATCTCTCTAGTTCTATTTTTGCTTTTTTTTTTCCAACCTCGCCTTTGCATCTTACTACACAATTTAGAAAGGCACAAAATGATATTTTATAAGTTAATACAATTGACCTATAAGATAATATCTTTTAGGCTCATAAACATAATTTTAAAAATATTAAATCATTAGAATAAACATCAAAAACTATTTCTCATATTTCCTCTTTGATCTAAGCTCGTCTCATTTCATTAGCTATCATTTTTTTATTAATTAAGAGGAGGGTGAGAAGGAGAATGGAGAAAAAAATGATTATAAGTATGGAGTGAAAAGATTTTACTGAAAATTTAAAATTCTATTTATAAATATTCAAAATAGATAACTTGGGAATATTCAAAATTATGGATTGAAAGGATTGCGAATACTAATATCCTTTTTAAAAAAATTTATTTAGCACCCATTTTTTAAAAATTCTTACGAAGCATTTTTTCTTTAAAATAATAATATTGCTCTTGTTAACCATTTACTCTTATCAGTGTTGTTGTCTATTGTCTTTGCTCAGTGTTGTTGCCAATCGCCCTGGCCTCCCCTCTTATTACCCTTTACTATCATCCTCTCTCTATTAGCGATGATGGTAAATGAGAGTGAGACTATAGAGGGGATCAATGTTGGATCCAAATGAAGGAGCAAAGAGAACAACGGAGAGTGTTGCGTAGGCTATAGGGGAGTCAATGAGGGAACGAACATGACGATCAAAGTCCACCAATAAGATGAGGTCCGATGAGAAGAGCATGGAGGCTAGGGAGATGGCTTCCCACCACGATACCACGATTGCATAGTGCTTAATATGGGAGCGTTGTCGTCTCCCCTGTTAGGGTTCGACATATGATTAGTTCTCTATGATATCTGTAAGAATTTTTTAAAATGGATATGCTATACAAGAATTTATCTAAACTAGAGTTTTTTTTTAGAATTTATCCTTTTTTAACTAAATTGATTATAGTATTTCATATAAAGTTTATAAAAAATATTATATGTACACATCTCTTTTGAAAAATCCATTGGAGTTTAATTTTATATTTTTTTTAATGACTTACATGTTCATTAGATCAAGTCATCTATTTAAGACTAAAGCAAAACATCTTGAAACATATTAATTATTGATGTCTGATCATCATTTCCAACTTGATGTTCATGATTTTTCTATATAAAAATAAATATATAAATAATTTCATCAATCAGGCTACGTAGAAATCGTCTAACTATCTTGATATTACAAAGACAATCTTTATTACTCCTAAAATACTTTTAGTAATTCTTATATTACAAACATTATATGCTATTGATACCCGTAAAATAATATTTGTTTATTATACATGAGATCATGAAATAAAACATAGTGTATAAGCACAACTACATATGACACATGCATACATCCAATTAAGAGAAATTAGTCTATGTATATATTCTACCCAATAGTCAATAAAAATAATTAGCATTAAACTATTGAACAATATATTCAAGATAGTGGGGAACATAGCTGAGAGTGTTTTTATAATAGACTCTTGGACTGTCGTCGTAATTGACGTCAATTACTGGGAGTAGTTACGCATTTTACTCAATCTTGATTGTGATCATGAAGCACCTTGAAAATTTTGTTATGAATGGAATGATATCATTTGTGAGGTAATAAGTACTTATACATATTTTAGGGGAGAGATTTTCCTCGAGCACTCAAAGCATTCAAATATGTGATTGATCTTTAAATCAAAGATTGACGGGGGATTAGAGCATATAAGGAATGTAAAATTATTATTTTATTTTTTATCTCTATCATGCCCCTATAAGATTAAGCTTTCGTCAAAAATGCTAATCTTGAATCGATATAACTAAAATATCCTATAAGCGAGAGACTTTATAAGAGAGTCTACTAGTTGGTTAAAAGTATAGATGTGAGAAACACGTAGTTGATGTCTAACAATTTTATCTCTAACAAAATGAAAATAGATGGGAATATGTTTTTGTGAAAGTAGAACACTAAGTTAGAGCATAGGTAAGTGGCACCTATATTATCATAGTGTATTGTTGGAGTATATTGGGAGGTGATGCCAAGTTAGTATAATAAATTGGTGATCGAGTTTAATTTTATAGTGGCGATACCTTGTTATTCAGCTTAAATAATGGATCTTGCAATTGTGTTTTGTTCTTAAAACTCTAACTGATTAGTTTGCTCCAAGAAAAATAATGTAGGCTAATGTAGATGTTTTATCATCAATGTTGATAGTCATAGGCGCCCTGCAAGCTAATCACATGAGTGATGACACGTGTGATATGATACATACTTCTTTTTATTATTAATATTTATTGATATTTTTTACTTTATATTATCCGTTGTATATATTATGAAATCAATGGATATATACAATGAGAATCGGATCATGATGAGATCACGATAATGAGACTGATTCACCTTTAAACACAGATCTTAAAAATCTTGGTCATAGGTTACTCGATAAGGACATCGAGATAACCAGATATATTGGTGTGTTATATACATGTCCATATGATGGATGTGATAAGTCTTATAGCTGCTCGTGTTGGACACCGGAGATATAGTGTAGGTGCTTATTAGAGAATAGTTCACTGATTGATCTACTCATCGAATGCTAGATGGTTGATGATATCTCATTGTCAAACAATGATTCCATCATCATAGTTGCGTATTTGATATTCAGACTTGAGACAGCAAGGATGCCCTGTATAAGTACTCCACTCTTTAATATTAGACTTATAGGTCTGAAAGTTTCAGATCTAGTACAACCGGTCATCGGGAGTGACTGTCAAACTTACAAGGGTAATTAAGTATCGATAAATGATCATATGCTCTTAGGGTCATGAGAGAAATATCTTATGTTATTGCTTAGACAAATCTCTGACCAAGGTTATTCGGATTGAGAGAGAAATAGTTCACCAAGAAAATCCAACTAAAGAGACTCAGTTAGAAATCGTGTGGGCCTGACAACACCATGCCCGATATACGATCGTTAGAATGTTAAATGGATGAAGGACTATAGATGCATGATAACTAAGGACAAACATGTCTAATAGATTGTATTCTCATGTATCGTCTAGGTAATGTAACATAGTGACCTAGTACGTCTATAGTCGATGAGTCAAGTGAATTATTATAAGAGATGATAATTTACCAAGTTAGAAGGAGCTATGATAGGTATGACTTATGACCAACTCAATATTGGGTCTAAAGAGTCACACACATATGGTAGGTATTACGACGAATAAAGGTTCGGATATGAGATATCCGATGGAGCTCCTATCTTATTAGATATCCAATAAACCCCTGAATTATTGTATCTTGTGGATAAAATTCAATTAGAGCGAATGAGAGATTATTAGATAGAAATCCACTAATCCAAGAGGCTTTGGTAGTTGGTTGGAGATCCAGTATCCAATAAGGCAAGATCGATTAAGGTTAAGTTGACAAAGACATCTATAAATAGGAGAGAACCAAAAATGCATAAGCAATACCTTACCTCTTTTTGGCTGTAACCTCCTATTCTCCTCAACTGACAGCCCCAGTTGGGGGCGTATGGATAGCAAGAAGGGTCGATCCCTTTTTGATCATGTGATATGCGTGGAGAGAAAGATCATACAGCGATTTGAGGAGCGTCTTCGTCACATCTACCATATGGATCAACACTAGAGATAAGGATATCTCTAACTTCCTTCAACCTCTCCTATAGATCTGTAAATTTCCAGGAATATATAATCTCCCTAGGTAACACATCTTTTATATATGCGTAGTCTTCGATTTTATAGGTTTTTGCGTACCAATCTTCACATAATGACGATAAACCCTTTTATGCGGAAAATCTATTATTTTATGTTTTCTATTTTTTCATTGCACATGTGATGCTACCCTATGTTTCCCAATAAGTGTTGCCTGTCTAATCAGCATTGACAAAGACATTGAGATAAAGTGATGAGTGTTTATAAAAAAGAAGTTCATGATTAAGTATCCCTTAAAGAAATTCCAAGACATATTTTAGTACAGACCAATATGTAATGGAGGGCCGCATGAATTATGATAATTTCTTGAGTTTAAATAAAATATTAGAATATATAATAGATAAATACACTAAAGAACCAATTACTTATTAGTACTACATGAGATTCGTAGTAGGGTTACTATCATATAATTTAAATAACTCAATGGTAGAGAGTAGGGTAGCAACTTGTTTAGCATTCAGTATATTCGTCTTCAATAATAGATCTTAAATATGTTTCTTTTAAGATAGAAAAAAACCTTAAAAGTTGTTTCCACTCCCAGAAAATAGTTTAAGGTTTCTAGTTTTTTACAAAGAATCGTTCTATTAATTGCTTAAAGAACTACTTGATTTCTATGAAATTATTATTTATAATAATAATATCATTAATATAAACTAGTAGATATATACAAATATTCATTTATTGTTGTAGGAATAAAAATGTGTTAGATTTAGAATTGATGAAACCGATTGACTAAAAAAGGAGTCAAGTTTGATATACCAAGCTCTTAGAGCTTAATGAAGTTCATAA